TTATTAGTACCAAACTGACCACTTCATCGCTTGCCGAGAGGTACAGTTCTAAAACATCGCCCTCCTCGAGTCGGGTTAAGATCGGCATACTAGTAAGGTATTTCTTGAGCTCGTCAAACGCGAGCTGACAGTCTTGGGTCCATTCGAACCTTTTGGTCTTGATTGCCTTAAAGAACGACAAACAACGGTCCACCGATTTGGACATGAAGCGGCTCAGGGCGGCTATGCGGCCATTCAACCTCTGGACCTCCTTCAACTTCCGGGGTGGTCTCATATCTAAGATGGCCTTAATTTTGATCGGGTTGGCCTCAATGCCGCGCCGGTTAACGATGTATCCTAGGAACTTGCCCAAGGTCACACCGAATACACACTTGTTTGGGTTCAGTCTCATATTAAACTTACGCAAAATTTCAAAAACAGAATGCAAATCTTGTATTAATTCATGCGAAAATTGAGTTTTGACGACTATATCGTCTACATAGCATTCTACTTTTGTGCCAATTAATGGCACAAATAATTTATTCACAAGTTTTTGGAAGGTTGCCCCTGCGTTTTTCAACCCGAAGGGCATAACCTTGTAACAATATAGACCGAATTCCGTGATGAAGGCAGTCTTTTCTTTGTCCACCGGGTCCATCTTGATTTGGTTATAGCCCGAATAGGTGTCTAATAAACTTAGCAACTCGTGCCCTGAGGTTGTGTCCACCAAGCGGTCAATTCTGGGGAACGGGAAGCAGTCTTTTGGGCAAACCCTGTTCAGGTCGGTGTAATCAAGGCATATGCGCCACTTGCCATTGGCCTTCTTTACCAGGATGGGGTTGATACACCCAAATGTATCAATACACCCAAATGTATCAGCAAGGGTGTATTGATACTTTTTTTGCCACACATTTTTTTAGTTGTTTTTCAAATTTCATTTTTATATTTGTTTATGTATTATTTAATCAATAAAAAAGTTGGATTCCTGAAAACAACTATAAACTGGTGTGTTGGATACCCAAATTATATGATATAATATGAATGATATAAAGTGGGCGAATTTTGTCGATACTTTGAACATTATTGATTGGAGTTAATATTAAAGGGATCTACATTTTGATAGATATATTCAAGTCCAATTTTTTTTAAGGTTTAAAGTATATTTCATTCATTCAAGAAATTGATACAAGTACGAAGAATTGCCAACAAAGCTGATCAAAACCCAGATAGAAATTTTCAAGTATAACAAAATATATAAATGAATGAAGGAAAATATAGTAAACTTTTGCAATCCAATTCAAACCATAATGACTCTAACATCCCTACCCAGGAAGATAGGTGCACTCAAATACACATGGATTAAAGAAAGTATATAGATATTCTAAACTTTGGGATGTCCATCCGTCTAATGCTTATAAAATTAAAAAAAAGGAAAAAAGTAATTTTGATCATGGTCTGTCTGAGTTCATGCCTACATTTGCTCAGCATCATGGTCAAGGCAGCCTGGGCGAGCTTAGAACCAGGATAACGATATTGAACCCAGTTGAGATAGTTAATAGTGTCCCACATTCAGTCAATCAATTCATTCCTCCGTCAAATTGTTTGATCCAGCTCAAGCCAATTTCCAGGCCAAATTTTGGCCCATAATCCTCCGTCAAATTCTTTCTCTATTCCTCGAACCAATCTAGCTTGACTCGTTGATGGTCTAATTTCCCCCAACCCTTTTGAGTAAACAATGAAAATTTGTAACGAGATCTCGCCATGCACAATGGATACAAGGATATTGGATATCAAACCGAGCTCTAGTTTGGGTTCCTGGGGTTTTAGCCAAGCCAATGCTTAGAACATCCTGATTGTAAACAAATCATCTCTAACTCCTAAAACCAACTCATACATGGCTCCCCTGCACATCAAGTCATCACCAAGCTAAAGTCTTGCAAATTCGCTCTCAAAAGCTGGAACAAAAATCAATTTGGACAAATACAAAGACATATACAGAAAATTGCTGATCAAATCTCAACACTGCAAATGAGAGCTTTAAATGATGATGAGCAAAGTGAGCTCCAGTCACTCACCAATCAATACACTTATTGGTTATTAAAGGAGGAACAGCCATGGAGGGTCAAGTCAAGAGAACTGTGGCTCAAAGAAGGTGATAGAAATATAAAATTATTTCACTAGATAGCAACTTTTAAATACTTCAACAACAACATTGATTAGCTAAAATGTCCGGATGATTCTTGGACCTCAAGCCGTACATCCCTAGTACAATTATTTAAGCAAGTTCTTTTGGAGGTGGGAGGTCAACAAGAAGATTTTGATCCAAGTTTTCTAGATAAAATAACCCTCCCCAGGATCAAGACTCTTCCGCTAACTCCTCCTTCTTTTGAAGAGCTGATCAAGGTGGTCAAACAATTCAACTCTCATAAAGCCCCTGGCCCAATGGTTTTACTCCCTTCTTTTTCAACATTTCTGGGACATGATTGGCTAAGACATCTTCTCCATAGTGCTGAAATTCTTTAATACAGAATTGTTACTGAATGGGTTGGTAAAGGAAGATGAAGCTCCAAACAAGAGGTAAACGATATATTGCTCTCAAATTAGACATGTCCAAGGCATTTGATAGAATGAATTGATCTTTTTTATATCATGTGTTAAAAAGATGAACTTTCCAGACAAATGGTGTTAACATGTTGTACCAGTGCATGCCCACTGCATCATTCTCCATCAAAATAGTTGGTGAGTCTCATGAACACTTTTCTCTGAATCGAAGGGTAAGACAAGGTGATCCCATCTTTCCCTATCTATTCATTATAGGCATGGAGGTTCTCACCCAACTTCTAAACAAAGCTGCATCATTGGGTCAACTTGAAGGGGTGCAAATTAGTCGGAATGGTCCATCTATCACTCATCTCTTTTTTGTTGATATTGCATCATTTTCTACAAAGCTGAAGTTGAGAAAGTAAAATCCCTTGTCAGATCATTAAATTCCTTTGAATCTATGTCAGGACAAAAAATAAGAAGAATTTTTAAATACCCACTACCACTCCTCACACAAAGGGATCATTGAGAGAATCTCTACAAGAACAAAATCTTAGAATTCAAAACTTTTATCAAAAGTAGGAAGAACTACCTTAGTCAAATCCGTACTACAATTCATCCTAGTCTACTACATGACTACATCAATTCTTCCTCAAACAACGTGCTCCAAGCTAGACAAAATGACTAGATCATTTTGGTGGGGTGATTCAAATAAAACCTCTCAACATACAATGTTTTGGAGTAAAATTTGTCAACCAAAGAAGCAAGGAGGTTTGGGATTTAGATTATACAGTACCTTGAACAAAGCCATGTTTGAAAAACAAATTTGGAGACTACTAACAAACAATCTGATATATGGAGTAAGCAAATCAAAGCTAAATATTTTTCCCATACATCACTATTTGCTGCTAAGAAAGGTCATAATAACTCCCAATGGTAGCAGCAAGCTCACCAATTGATAAAACAGCTGCAACCTAATCTCCTGTGGTCAGTTAAAGATGGTGGCTCCATCATAACAGCTATGGATCCTTGGATACCCACTCTGTCAGGGAGCGTGCCACATCTGAAAGAATTAACAGCATCTCTAATCCAAGAAGCATGATGGTTGCGGAATTGTTAAACCAATACGGATGGAATCTACCAAAATTACCTCAGCTTTTTCATGAGTCCACTATCAGCCACATCCTATGCATTACTCCTGAGCCTAGCCAACCCACTGATCTTCTTATTTGGAAGTGCAATACTACAGGTATTTACTCTGTTAAATCAGCCTATTATCACTTTGCATCATTGGGGAGCTTCAACTCCTTTCTTTGATTGGAAGCTTATATGAAAACTCAAGGTACCCTACAGACTCCAAATATTCCTCTGGAAATTTGTGTGGGATGGACTTCTTACCAAAAACAAATGCGTTACTTGGTTAAATGAATCAGAGAAGCTTTGCATTTTCTGTAAGCTCCATGAAGAAACGATACATCACCTCTTCTTCCAATGTTCATTTGTTCGAGCAATTTGGTGTGAATATTTGGATTAAATCCATCATCCATTCATACCATCATAGTTGACTGGTATCACAACCTAAATACACACCATGGTAAACAAAAGGCTTTGGTAAGCTTAATTTATTTTAGCATCATCAGTTATCACATTTGGAAAGCTCGAAACAAAAGTTTATTTGAGAATGCGACACCAGATCCTAAACAAGTGGTTTAGACAACCTTACAATCCTCTTTGGAAGTGATCTCACCTCGACCTCAAGCTGAGCTGCATTCACACTGTCCTCCCCAAAACAACATGTCTACTCTTTTCATTGATGGTTCTTTTGGTCCGGTTTCTGATAATGCAGGACGGGGGTTCATCATCCAACATTCTAGAGAGCAGATCACCATTGCAGAAGGCACACCTTGTTGGGCAATCAACAGCTATGATGCCAAAGTTCAAGCCCTTCTAGGAGGGTTGAAGGTAGCACTGGCAAACAATATCACTCACCTTTTGGTATATTCGGACAATGAAGCATTGGTAAATTTTGCAAAAGATGACTGACCATCTCAATGGACAGAACAGTTACATAGAAATCATCTTAAAAGACTAATTTCTTCTTTTGGATCTGTATATTTTGTGCATATTTACAGACAATATAACCAAATGGCCCACTTTTGCTATCCAATCATGTATCTTTCTCAATTTGAATGAAATGCTTTTTGTTAAAAAAAAATCGCCTATTGTAATTAGGGAGAATAATGGTTCAACCCAATGTCAGAATTTATAGGCTCAAAGTATAATAGAAGTAGGTACCATATTCCATTGACGGGTATTGGTGGATAGAATGTGGGTTATTGCCATTTTGAATATTTATAACCCTGCAGCGGAAATAAAAAATCTGCATTGAATCAGTCCGTACTTTTCCGTTTTAATTATTTACCTGTAGAAGCGTAGCTTCATCCCACATTGTTTAGTTTCAAAGAAGTGGTAGGGTTAATTTAACAACGACTTTACAATATCAACGACTTCACAAAATTTGGAACGATACAGAGAAGATTAGCATGGCCCCTGCGCAAGGATGACACGCACAAATCGAGAAATGGTCCAAATTTTTTTTCCAATTTCCCCCTGAATCGATGTTCTGGAACTTCTTCACATTTTTCCTTTTCCTGCATTTCTGCTCGTGGTTGATATTGTTCTCGTCCAAAAATCTATGCCTTTAGGGCTTGAAACCACTGACCACAAATCTGAATTTGTGAGTAACAAGATTGACAGCGTTCTATGCTTTCTCGTCCAAAAATCTATGCTTTTAGGGCTTGAAACAACAGACTACTGACCTTCTGGGTTTTGTTTGAAAACGATTTTGGGTAAGTTTTTCTTTTTGGCTTTCTTGTACCTCTTTCAGAATTTGTGAGTAACAAGATTGAAAGCGTTCTTTTTCTGCAATTTTTTTCCTAAAGTCAAAGTTGTGTGGAACTTGAAATTCTTTGAATTTTTCCTGTTCTGCATTTCTGTTTTGACACTAATATTGTTCTCGTCCAGAAATCCATGCTTTTCCCTTTTCTGGTAGAAAAGATAAATAACGTTCAAACAATATGAAATGTATTAATTTACATTGATGTTCTCCGTTCTTGGTATCTGTTTATTTACTTTATTTGCCTTTTGCTAAGAATATAAGATCTATTGGCGTTATGCTGTTCTGCTTGACAAGTTCTCCCAGCTCCAGAATACCAAAAAGTGAGAAATCATGTTGGCAAGGGGCTCCTCTTAATGCAATAGTAAAATTTTGGGCTGGCAAGCGTGACAATAGTAAAAGCTATATTAGCTTTTGCTGACTCTGTTTAATTTGTGGCATACTAAACAAGTTTCTAGTCATAATCCTTTGTGGCTTTTCTTTCTCTTAGACAATTAAGTAATGAAACATATTAGGGACTTGAGCATTGAAAGTTCTCTTATGATTTTCACTGCCAAAAGCTCGACTGATAATGGGCCTTTAATGTAGGCATCACTGGCATTGAATTCCCTTTCAGATTTTATGCTTATCTCGTATGATCTTTTAAGTCCTGTCTGTCTAACCAAGTTTATTTGTGATGACTTGGTCTCTGACCAGCACAATATCATTTCAGCAGTAAGACCTTGATTATATATAAAGGTTCAAAACCTTATATTCTGATATTCAACATCATCATCTTTCTATGTCTATTTACTATCTATTTGTTGTATGTGGAAAAAGGTCTGTGCCAAGTAGGGAAGCTCACTGGATTATCCCATGTATGTTTGCCATGTGAAGAAACTATTTGGCCAATCCATTTAGTCCAGAAGTTGTGGGACTATCCAGATTAATTAGTTATGTGTTCACGTAAGTTCCAATAAGCTCCGCAACTTGTCTCGGAGTCCTACTGAAGTCTTTATTTTTAATTTAAAAATTCACATAAGTGAAGCATCTACCTTGACATATGGCATGTTTTCTTTTGGTTTGGAACTTGTTTCATGAACAATGGTTGAGAGAGGGGAACCCAGGTGATGGGAGTGTTCCTTTTGAGCCTCAGAGAAAAGTTCCCTCATGGAAGATTCCTGGTAATTTAGGAATCTTACTCAACTATCAGACACATAGACCCAATTCCTGATTTAACCACTTTACATAATTTGTTACAGAAGCAACTGTGGGCTTATTGCCTGGAGAACCATGGCTATTTTTGGGAAAGTTCAGCAAATAACTGCCCTTCTGTCACTACTCTTACTTGTCAGTTGCAATTTCTTTTTTGCCTTGGGAATTTAGCTGATTGTCCGGCTATGTGAGATTTGTATGAGGTTTCTTAATGATCATCTTTGGCAATTTCAATATCATTCAACAAAAGAGCAGTAGGGGGGAGAAAAAAGAATTACAAAGGTTGAACTTCTTGAGACAGAACTTTCCTTGGAGAAGTGATGTAGAATGGCGAATCTATGAGAGAAAGGGAAGGATCCAAAGATATTTCTCATTCTTTTTGATAGTTAATTCGGTTGAGCATAGTCATTTATTATTTATTCTCTTGCTTTTCCTTTGTATTGTTTCCATGCGTTCATCTTCTTTTGCTTTACCTGTTTCTTTCATTTGGAAGAGGATGCCAGCAGGGGTGGGGGTTAGGAATCTCTTAGGTGGACTTGCACTCTTGGGCAGCTAGCTATGTTAAGTTATAAAAATGAGTTTTACTAGATGTAATCATGTAAGTATGAATAGAGTTTTTGTGGTACATTTTCCACCTGCATTTTCAAGCCATGTGAGATTATTTCATTTTCGTTTTTTGTAACAACACAATCTCATCATCTAAAATAAATTCATTTATGGTTATTAAGAAAAATGGAAGTGTATTCGTTTCTTGAAGTCCTGAAATGAACTCATTTCTATCATTTCTTTGAAACAGGAAGCAACTCCATTTTTAATGAAGTTGTACTCTCTAATGCAATGGAAAATCAGCATTGTTCTGAAGTTTTATGTGATAGGCGAATACCACTTATATAAAATGAAAATTCTGTAAAATAATTGTAAAGCCAACCATGTTGTATCGAGTAGAGCGTTGGGCTGTCAAAAAAAACCGTCTAAGAATGTGTGGCAGATTGGAGTATACAGATGGATAAATAGAAAAACTAGAAAGAATAGGATTAGAAGTGAAGTCATTCGAAGGAACCTAGGAGTATCTTCAATAGGTGATAAAATGAGAGAAAGCAGACCGAGATGGTTTGGTCATGTGCATAGAAGACCATCAACTGCACTTGTAAGAAGTGATTTGCTGCAGGTTGAAGGGGCTAGAAGGGCTAGGGTTAGACCAAAAAGGAAATGGGTGGAAGTAGAAAGAAATGATTTAAGCACGAATAATTTAACAAGAGATGTGGCATTAAATGGAACAGAATGGTGAATCAGGATTCATGTAGCTGACCCTATATAGTTGGGATAAGGCTTGGATGATGATGATGATGATGATGATGATAATGATGGTTCTGGCTTTCTGAGTAGCTTCCAAATCATGGTTTTTAAAACCGAACCGGTCAGGGGTCCGGTTACTGGTTTAAATGGTCTGACCATTTGACCCGAATGGTCGGCCAGTTCTGACAAAAAAATAAAACAATTGAAAAATTTGAAAAACGGTCAAAACCATTTGAACGGTTAATCGGCCGGTTCAGCGGTTTACTGACCAAAATCAACGGTTTTGGGGAAAACCGGAACCAATTAGGTGACTGGTTCCCGGTTTTTCCGGTCCAACCGTCCGGTAGGTAATTGAAAATTTGCCAAAGTCTATTGATTGTATAGTGTCTAATGCTATTCACAGATGCCAAGTTTTTCTTAGTAGTTGAACATTATCCTTTTACATCATATAGAATTGTGAGGAGACCCATTTTTTGAGAATTTGAAATGTTTGAATCTGATTTTGTGAAATAGATAAGGGTCGTTACTCATTGCTGATTTGGCTATCGAGAGTCTTGGTAAGGGTGGATTAGATACACAACCGACTTTTGGAAATTTTGTTCTACAAAGTATTTACAAAGTCTAAGCCATTTTTTCACACTTGTCAACCTGAGATTTTACCATTCCACCACGCAAGGGCCCCAATTTTGCAGAACTGGTACTTAATGCAATGAAGTGAGATTGAATCTGATATTGCTCTTTTGATTTTTAATCAAATGAGATGAGACATTACAAGATACTTCGGATTCCTGACTACTGAATGCTGATATCCTTCAATGCATCTGATATGAGATAGCATATATGAGAATATACCGGGACCTCCTGTTTTTCTGTGATTGAAATACTTTTCCACTACTTGTGTGTGTAGAAAATCAATGCTGGGGTACCATGGACTAACCACCTAAAGATTGTCTACAAGGAGAACTAGCATGATAAGATGACCTTTAATCTAATTTAAGGAATTCATGGATCTACTGTTTTTGCAAACAGAAGGAAAAACCACATTCCGCTTTATCTTTCAATGCTCCTTTGCAAGAGCAATATGGTGTAAGGCACTGTTTTCAAAACCGGACTGGATGAGACAGTCGGACCGGAAAAACCGGGAATCGGTCACTTGACCGGTTCCGTTTTCCTCCAAAGCCACTTTTTTCTCCCAAAATCATTGATTTTGATTAATAAACTGTTGAACCGGCCGGTTAACCATTCGAAAAGTTTTGACCGTTTTTTAATTTTTTCAATTTTTTGTCAAAACGGACCGGCTGTTTGGGCAAATGGTCAGACCGTTCAAACCGGTAACCAGACCCCTGACCAGTTCGTTTTTAAAAACCATGGTGTGAGGCACAGATTGGAATCAATCCGTCTCAGCTGCCACCATGTAATTCTTCCCGCATGGCTGTCATCGGTACGGTCAAGCTTTGACAAGGCAGAAGCTCAATTCTGCCTCAGCAAGTTCAATGTATCTGATTCTAAACACAGCCCTTTGAAAAACAAAACACAATAACTGGAAAATAACATGAAAGGAAGAACGTTAGTAAACAAAGAAGTTAATCCACCACCAAGTGTAATTGAATTGGAGGGTGTTGATAACAGAGGTTCCATGAGAAATAAAGATTTGTGCAATTTCACCTTGCCCACGATTATCCCGCAAAGTGGTTCGAAATAATAACCGTATGGCCCAATCTTAAGCAGTTGGTTCTTCTCTACTTCTGAACCACTGTGCACAAATAAACCCAAGAACCAGAACCAAGTTGGATAGTAAATAATAGCAATTCGTCTATGCTCCATGGACTCGAATCAAGCATGTAGATTGTAGACTAAAACAATAAACAGCAGACACAGACATAAGCATTGAGTCATTGAGTAGAAAATAAAGAGGTGGGGTTGCCGGAAGAATTTAAACAATGTCCAATGGCTGCAGACATTCGACGGAGAAAAATGGCCGGTAAACGCTGTACCTTAGCCGTGAGGTAAGTTTGTAATAATATATACAGAGACTAGCAGCAAATCAACAACCGCTGAACAAAGGATGAGATTTAAGAGATTCACTGCAACGTGGTACCTGAGCTGGTCGCCATTTTCGCTTGGAGGTTTTGGAATGTGACCTTTGGATTAATCGTAGAGAGGCTTCTTGGGTTGGTTGGTGGTAGTCTTCAGCTTCTCTTAAAAACAACCCCCTTCAAGGCTTCTTTGACCTCTCTGTAGAGGTTGATGCATGGAATCTTGGGAACTACAGATTTGATTTCGTAGGGTACTGGGTTACATGTAGGGGTGAGAATACCTGGAAGCGACTAGAATTGATCTCAAACTGGTCGTGAACTGACCCTACCCAATCTGTTACAGGGTGGGGCTTGGTTCCAAATTTTTGAAACTGACTCCTACTTAGGTCAGTTTCATGGTCTAGGGGTTTACCCTACCCGAAGTGACCAAATGAAGCGGCCTTGGTTGGCCTTGGTGGAACTGGCCTAGGAACCGATCTGGTCTTGAAATAAACCCTACAATATTTTTAAGGATGTAAAGATTTGAATCCAAGCACTCATGGTTACAAAAGTCATGGTCTCACTTGACCATTGAATTACTTAAGTGATTTGATCATTTATTTTCATTATAATATTTGAATGTGTATAATAAATATTGTAAAAAGTAATATTTACAAAACTTAAATTATAATGACAAATTTTGAACCGTATATTAATATATTATGATAATCTCCATATTAAATTACTCAATCTAATCAATAAAGACAATATAAGTTTTAAACTATATATTATCATTATTGAAAATTAAGTTTTTAAAGGACATGTTTCATTTTCTTTTTGGAAGGGGGGAGAGTACAGAAAGAACAGGTTTAACAAGTAGACCCTGGAATCGACCTCAGAACCACCAATGCTAGAACTGACCTTCATAGGATAGGTTCCAGTTCCAAAAACCTGGAATCGACCCCTACATGGTAGGTTCCACGTTCTTCCATGAAACCGAACTGGCCGATGCTCACCCCTAGTTACATCAAATAATCATGCCCCTTAAGTCAGAGTCAAAATAGAAGGGATTAAATAATTGGCCTTTTTAGAGTTCATTGCAAAATAGTGAAAACTTTGAAAACAAGATTCCTATGTTTTTGTAAGAAATAGTCCATGTTTGGTTGCTGATGTGGGATTCATCCTTTTAATTCTTGTTCATCCTAGGCAAGAATAGGCAAAGAATGAATAACATTAGAGCTTTGTTTACAAAATTCTTGCTATGGGCTTCATTTTTTTTAGAAAAAAAAATCATTTTATAGCACAAAAAATGAGGTAGCTTGCAGCATGAAAAATAATCATGCCCCATCTTGCTCATTTTTATTGTTTAAAGAAACTCTATGCCAAGTGTTGTAAAGTGCCAGACTAGGTCTACAAAAGTGTCACCATAAATGTTTACTGGCAGGCTGCCATGAAAACTTACGCTGATGGACATTGACCATTGGGCAATATTGATAAACATCTATGTTGACGGTATTGGAGACCTAGGCTGACAGTTTAAGCATCTATGTTGACGGTATAGTAGCATTTTGTCATTCTACCTATTTTTACCCACTCTTGTTCATTTTAGAATTTCATCTTGGGTAAGAATGAGAATTGAACCAAACATGGCCCTATCAAGTTGATTTAGTAGGGTAGACAATAGACTTCATGGGACCCACCTCCACTTATGTAAGTCGGAGAGAGAAGGTAGTTGGGATTGATTAATTAGTAATTTGAACTAAGGGATTAAAGTATTGATATTATGGGCCAATTTGGATACAGATACAAGTATACTTTGGAAGCGCATGGATACAAATGAAAAAAATGGAAATGCTTGGATACACTAGGAAAATACATACAAATTTCATAAATACATTAATAACACTAAATTTAAGGTCAAATGGCCATAAATAATGTATAAATATATAATAAATATATATTTAATGGTGTGCATAAAAATATATTATAATTAATATAGTTGAATGTATAAATATCATACAATGCATTAATTAAGAGTCCAAGGCACACCTATTACATTTATCCTAATTATTATATCAATTATTTTAAATTTTTAACATTAACAAAAAAAATTTAACCAAATATTAAATTCTCAAATATAAATTAAATAATTAAATAATTAATAATTTATAAAACTATATAATTTTAGATTAAAATATATCAAATGTGTTAAATTTTCTAAGATGCATATGAAAATTCATAATTTTTAATTATTAAAATTAATATTTTATTATTAAAACTTTTATTTCTATAAAATTTTTAAAACTAAAAATTATTATGCATATAAATGTAAATTATTGGGTTTGATAGATTCAATTTAATATTATATTCTCGAATATTTTGTAAACAAATTTTTATTTTTTGTAAATAAAGAGATATTGTTATTTAATGTAACTAAAATATTAATTAACAATTATAAAAAGATATAAAAATTGTAAGATATATATCATGCACAAATTTATAAATTTTAAGTACTAAGATAATTATTATATTATTAATATTTTATTTGCATAAATTTTGATTTGTATACATTTCTTGAGATTAAAATCATCTTATGATGTAAATGTAGAATTGATAGATTATTTTTTCTATTTGTTTATAAAATACTACTTTTAAATATTATTTATTTTAATTTTTATTTAAAGTTATTAAACATAAATATTGATTATTTGTTTGGATGGACACAAAAGTTAATAAAAATTGTTTTATTTCATTAAACAATGCGATGAAGTTTTTCAATAGAAAGATGTTGAATAACGGTGCATAATTTATCTGACATGCGCGTAAAATTTATGAGTTTTCTGGTTTGATTTTCTGTAGGATTTGATATGTTTTTACATAAATGATTTGGATGCGTCTTCCTCAGTTTGTGTCAAATGAGACCAATGATCTAGGTCAACTCATTAGGAGGAACCAAGTCAAGCATTCGAGTTGCCTAAAAGAATGCTTGACTTGAATTTTCTTTACCTTAGCCTGGTTAATTTGCTTGCACATCTGCAAATGAACGATTTGAGTGAAATTTTTGATAAAATTTTGTTTCTACTCTTGCTCAATCTTCGGAAGAAGTTGCTAAAATCTGAAGCAAAGGTACGTAATATCCAATTTAACATTCAACTCTCCACATCATATATATAGGTCACTCCCAAAACATGCAAATAACTTTGCTCCTTGCTACCTCAACTCTCCACATCATTTTACTTGTCACAAATAAGACAGAACCAAACCTGAAGCAAAAAGTAAACCAAAACCATTCAATTAAGTTAAATGACAAGATTAAACCAGCAAGTGCTTTGGTTAAAGGGCAAAGTAGTATTACATTGCATTGAATTTTATTGACCTCAAGTGCAACTGGCATGGCATGTATAGTACTGATTTAGTGACTACATCGTTTTCATTCAGAAACTTAATTTGCCTCATGCCCATAGTGCAATAATAGTCTTCTTCTTCTTTTTTCCTCTCTATTAGTTTAATTCTTAGGTAGGCCACAGTTACCAGTAGCTGGCTTAATATAAGCTCCAATTGAGAGGATACGATTATCATCAAGAAAGTATCCATGAAACCCAGCAAAACCACCCAGCTGTTTGCCCATTCCAATGTAGAATTCTGAATCCTCGGAATCCCCCTTGTTCCTTCCATTAACAACAACATAAGAATCCCGCATACTCTCTCGACCACCGAAGGGTCCATATTGGGATATATTGGTCCCGAATGTGAGTGACACCAGACCAGATTTTGCATTATAACTTCCTCTAACCCAAGTAAGAAATTCTGACGGATAATCAACATCAACCTACAAACATGCACTTAACAAGAAGCTATATAATTAAGGTTCCGTTTGGTTGCATTGAAAATAACAAATAAAAGAATCAAGTGTCAAATCCTTGTTTCTTTTACTGAACTAGCAGTAAACAAACAAATGGGGCCTGTTACTCACCGTGGTGAAATTTAATCCACAATCTCCGCCATATCTATCGGACAACTCAAGTTTTCCATTCTTCTTCACGTAATTGAATCGTAGAGAATTGATGACAGACTCTCCATAACAAATGAAGATTTGTGCGATTCCATCTTTGTCTCTATCGTCCCAGGGCTGACCACAAGCTCTAGCTCCATATGGCCCAACCTTGACCAGTTTCTTCTTGTCATCCCCTAAATCCAAAAACCAAGTTACATAGAAGCAGATAATAATAAGTCTATCATTGTTCAACAGACTCAAATCAAGCATGCAGACTGTAGGTAGGGATCAATTAAAACTAAGCATTACATAAGCATTGATTAGCTAGAAAATAATGACTGAGAGAGAGAAGCCGTTCTGACTCCAAAGTAGGTAACAGGAAGAACAAAAATGGACCAACTGCTCCGGATGGGTGACGGAAAAAATGGCCGGCCGGCAAACGCCGCCTTCTGCTTAAAGACCGATCGATATCGTAAATCCTCCATTTTGTAAGGCAATTTGAAATAGAATTATGTACACATACACAGACAAGTTACAAAGCAAGTACCCAACAGAAATGGGATTTAAGCTGTTCAATGCATATCGGTGGTTTCTACGTACCTGAGGCTGAGGTCGCCATTTTCATTAGAGGCCGGTGCAATGCGACGGTCAATTCATTGTAGGGAGGCTTCGTGGGTTCATTGTCTTTCTAGGCGCTCTTCTTCGGCTTCTCTTTGCTACAAAAAACCCCCTTCAGGCTTCAAGGCTTCAACATTTGATGTTTGACTGTTCTGTATTCAAATCTTAGCAAGGGAAGAGAGTCGTAAATCACAAATAGTCTGGTGCAGCTAGTCATAACTTATAACTCAGAGCCATTATGGTAGATAGAACTAGTACTACTGCAGGCCTAATTAATTAGAGGCCGGTGGTGCAGTCATTACTCACACCCATTATTCCTGGTGATAAGCACTTAAACCCCATCTTTTCTCGTAAATACTAAAACCTTCCCTCACCTAACCAAACAGACTTTACTCTCCCTTACGTTACGAGCTGACAACTGAAGCATGATAAATGCTAAAATGCATATACACCTTTGTTTGAATATTATTTTTTCTTTTTGGATTTAATTTCTTTCTTTCCCACCAGGTTTCCAAGGCATTAGCTAGGTGGGAGTATAATTACCCCTACCTATTTGATTTCAATTCTTGGACCGAACTTCCCTGCTCCTCTACTTCTTTGAACAATTTTAACGATATTTCGAATATTTTAAAATTTTTAGATGTTTTGAGTATTTCAAAAATTGCCGATATTGGAGATAATAAGGGTGTTTATTATAGGGGTAATAGCATATAAGGGCAACTTTTGGGGGTTTAATATCAATAAAAGTAATATATTTAAAAAAATTGTAAAAATATGTTAACTTTTTAAAATAATATCAATAAAGGGCAAAAATACGGTTCATCTTCTTCTTCTTGCCATTTGTTCACTAGAGCCGCCGCATGCCACCACCCGCCACCGCCATCTGCCGCCGCCCGCCACCGCCGTCCATTGCCGCCTGCCGCCTCCAACAACGTTGCCAAGGTGGCCGGAGGCAGAGTTGCTAGCGGCGGCGACACTGGTGGTTTCTTTGTCCAACGCCACCACCTCCGCCCACCTCTACCTCCACCTCCGGCAACGTTGCCAGAGATGGGTGGAGACAGAGGTGGCTGATGAGAATGAAAATTATCATATTTTTATCCCTTAATATTTAGTCTTTTATACTTATTTAGTGCCTAAATGGACTCATTATTCTTATATTTTGATTTAGGACACGAAATGAGGCGTTAAGTGAAAAACAAGGTTAATCGGGTAATTCTAGACAGTTTTGGCACCGCGTCGTAATTTGGGCATAACTCTCTCATCCGGACTCCGATTGAGATGATTCAAGATAGTTGGAAAGATAAGGAAAAGTTCTACAACTTTCATGTTTTGAGTTTTGATAGATACGGACTGAATTGAGATCAAAATCGGGCCCGAATTATCTACAACCGCATTGCTGACGTGCTGGAGCCATTCCTTAGCCTGCAAGTTTTCATCCGGGAATTCACTACTCTCCGGAGGCTACTGAATGCGAACTGAAGGAGAATCAAAGCATGGAGATCAAAGACTGATGCAAAGATCTTAAGTGTCTTTGTCTTGGGTTCTATAGTTTGGTAACCTAGATTCGATTAGGGTTCTTGAGGTTTCTCTATTGAATCTTTCTTCTTTCTTCCTTTTTATGCGAACCATGATGAGGTTTAATCCTGATTTGTAATTATACTTAGGCAGATCCGATTGAGTATGATTTGTTCTTGGGATTCTTGTTTAGGGTTTCGATTTATAGAACAATCTTGGCCGAATTGTTCTTGCATTTGTGATTAATTGAACTGCTTGAGAAAGAGTTAGGTAATTAGATCATCTAATCAAGAAACAGACTGAATGCACCTTAGAGATAAATTGCATGGTTCGGTTGGCAATCATTCATACCTGAATTGATGGCCTACGAATTCTTGTTCTTAATGCATCTTTGGTGAGTAAAATTCTGATAGAGATATAGGATTTGTCATTCAGAGATAGGGTGGGCTGCGCTCGAGAGTGGCTGCTCATAAATTAGGGTTTCGCCAACCCAAGACTGACTTCACCTCAATTGGATAGCTTAAAGATTTGATTGCTAAATCGGTTCGGTCAATTCTTGTATGCAGTGACTCGTCTTATCATTAAGAGTGGTTTGATCCAAAAGTAATTAGGGTAGTTGTTTGTTCTTAATTATATCATGAGGGGCTAGGTTTTTATTGTTAGGAACTAAGGCTTGATCATGCATTGAATTTCATTCATTAATAAAATCGATGAGGTTCTTGTTATATTGTCTTAGTTGCGCTGATTACGTGTCATTGGCTGATTACCAATGAATCGTTCTTTGATCAAGATTATTCATTGAGAGATGATAACTGAGGTGGAACTAATAACACTTATTCGGCCAATAATTAGGTAGAGATATCAATTGTTGGTAGGATTTCCGTATAGGTGTATTGACAACTTGTGTTTATGCAAAGAGGATTTCGATTGAAAGAATGAGAATTCATTGATTGTAATTCCCTTTAATTGAACATAGGTTTAGCTAGTCGATTCTTAAGAAAGATTGACTAGTGCTCTTGGTGTGAGAGTGGGTTTTTTCTCTTGTTTTTGTTTTTTAGGTTAAGAGGAAAGGGAGAACGGGTGTACAAGGGTTAAGGATTGGTTTGGGCTGCAAGCCACAAGGTACTTGTATTGTTTCTCAGTTTTATTTCATAGTGAAAAACAAGTTTCGTCTCTCCCGTGGATGTAGGAAGTGAGGTTGAACCACGTAAATCTTTGTGTTTCTTTGTGATGCTTATTTTTATTTGTCTTTACTTGGATTTCATCATGTTGCTATTAGATTTCTCGTGGTTGCTATTTTAAATACTTTATGATTTTATACTGTGGGTGGTTATTGTGAGGCTCCAACATTGAACTCTGCCAGAAATCTGACATTTACGGTTCCTTGGTTTGCGGTGCAATTTCTCTTGTACTAATAGTAGAAATGCATTGGAATACAAATAATAAGAGTGTAAATTGTGCTTCACTTTTGTTTTGGGTTTTGTTTTAATTTGCTTTAGATTTCATTTTGCATTATTTACTATGTAGGAAAAGTAAAACAAAATAAATTTAAAACGGGAATAAATCATAATTTTCATTCAACTCATGAATTACACTTATATGTTTTTATACCAGTGCAAATGAAATTGAATTACAATCAAACCAGGCCTTATTGAGACAATTTGGAACATAATTATACACAGAGACACAGACAAGTACGTAACAAAGTAACTACCAAACAAAAGAGCATTAAAAAACAGAAAAACTACCAAACAACAGATGAGATTTAAACGATTAAAAGAATTGTGGTACCTGAGATCGACATTTTCAATTTTTATTTGCGTTGGAATGTGAAGGAACTGATGGTTTAAACTTTAAACCTTTGGATTTCAACCGGAGAAAAAGGCTAAAAATTTATAGGACCACCGGAGACGAAAGGACATTGAGTGCGAATAGAGGAATGTGACATCCACCCGTTTATTGTTGATAGAAGTAAGGAACTGATGCTTTTAGTTTCTTTTCAAATTGCATTTTGTTGGGTCTCTTTAGCTTCACTTGAAAATATTCTAAGCTTTGGTTTGCTTGTTTTGCAATTTCATTTGCATCAGAGTAAAGGTAAGGGATTTCAAATTATTTGATCATTTCAAAGGGAGGCAAAGTCAAATATCAAACAAAAACTAAACCAGAAATTACATCCAACCCTTTTGCATTCTCATGCATTTACATCAATGCAAAAGAAATTTGTACTATAATCAAATATAATCGAATGTACAAAATAAAATCTTTGAATCCGATGCTCAGAAAAACAGTTTATTTATTTATTGTAGATGCAATTTTTTAGGTGATGTTTAGCATTTGATGATGATTTCTTGAAAACCACTGCCATATTGGAGCCATATCAGTGTTAGAGGAATCGGCGTTGAAATTTCTGTTTGGTTGGTCACTTTTGATGATTATCAATAAAGAGTATGATTCTAATTTGAATATCTTATCAGATATTTGACTCGAATAGAATTGTAACAAAAAGATTTAGGGTAAATATGTATGTATGTATGTATGTATGTATGTATGTATGTATGTATGTATGTATGTATGTATGTATGTATGTATGTATGTATGTATGTATACTAAAACAAAGTAGTTTAGAAATTTGCACCTTTTTATCACTAATTCCTATTTATCTATCCTCTCCCCTACTTTTTATTTATATCTATCTAAAGTTTGAATTAAAGAATAAAAAAATTATTTAAATATTCTAACAAAATTATATAATAACTTTAAAATATTTATTAAAAACACAAAAAAAATAATTAATATAGATTTAATAATATTCATACAATTAATAATTTTATATTTTTCAGAAAATTCATCCCAAAATTATGTACTAAAAATATAAATTATGGTTTTTCGGACTATTCAATTAAAATTATATTTAAATAATAAAAAACTTACAATTAAAAATAAAAAAATTATTTGAATATTTTAATAACTAAATATATTAAATAATAAAATATTAAAAAAAGCTAAATAATTATATAACAAAATATTTAATATTATGTAATAACTTTAAAATAAATAAAATTCGAAAAACAAAAAATTTTAAATATTTATATAAATAATATTTTAACTAATGAAATATTTAACATAACTAGATTTTAAATAGTTAAAATAATGAAATTATGTAATAAATTTAAAAAAATTCTTAAAAATAGAAAAATAATTATAAAACAAATATTAAAATTAATAATAACTTAATATTTTACAACATTCCGAAATTATGCAATAATAGTATAAATTATAAATTTTCAGATCATTAAATTCAATAAACAATTAATATTTTAAAATTTAAATAACTAAATAATATTTCAAATAACTAACTTCACTTATATAAATTAATAATTCTAGAATATAACTTTCAAAAAAAATAATATTTATTAATAATTTTAAAATCTTAATCTATATTTGTTATATATTTATATATACTCAAATTAATATTTATTGTATTTTCATTAATTATTTATTGTTTTTTGTGATAAATTTATTTTTAATAATTATGTATAGATCTATTTTTGTTTTGTTATTTAATTGAAAAAATTTCAATAACTATTGGAGATTAAATTTCTATTATTTAACTTTTTAAATTTGATTTATTGCATTTATTGTATTTATTATAGTTACTT